TTACTGATTATCATTCGGATTTATTTCGTTAATTATCATTAATTAATTTTATTGATTAAATCGTTATAAATTCCTTATTACGAATTTTTCGAAGGGTTTACGGGAAATTTATTCTTTTTCCTGTTTGATTAGGTGTCTACAGTCCATCAGTGGGACAGGGGATTGTATGTATATTGCTTGATTGTTCTACCCCTGTTCCCACTCTCCCTACCCCCCGTGTTCTGTGATTACCGGGACTTCTCAAGTACCGCATCGGTTCGGACTGATATCGACGGAACAGGACACCGGGGCACTGCCACGACGCAGTGCCAGAATCGCAGTTCGTGCCCGCCCTGCAGTACCTCCAAGACCGAAGAAACTCAACAGACGGACGACTCCATCAGCATCAAGTACGGCATTGACGGTACAAGACGCCACCGGAGATCATCCCGCATACCCAGTCCGAGGAGCCAATGAGCTAGCGGCTGATTATCGTCGGCGGCTACTGACATTTACGAAAGCCGTAGCTGCCGTCGATGCCCAGAAGGAGACAGCAGAGGCAGAACGTCAGCGGCTAGCCAATGAAGCGGCAGCCGAAGCTCAGCGAACGACTGAGACTGACGCAGCGACACGAGACAGACGGAATGCCAGCAGCACGGAGTCCTTGATTGCTTGTGAGCATCAGCGGAYGACGATACTCCAAGACATGATCTTTGTGCCTACAGAAGCGCAGGCAGACCCGACACCGGCGGAGGCAGAGAGAAGTAACCTGGCTAACTTGCTGCTGGGCATGATGAGAGGTATTATGTGGAATAATACACTGCTGCAGTCACATCTGCGCACGGACGCGACGCARCGACAAACATACAAGAATGATATGACTACGTTAACAACTGCTATCCGCACAGAGGCAATGCAGCAGCAGCAACAGCATCAACTGTTGAATTCCACTATCACACGCGTCAACAGCATAGAGGCTAACGCCTCAACAGCGCCAGGCTGCACGACAGACGTGACGAAGCAACTCAACGAGCGCATCGATCACGTCGTCACCATCATCGGCGACATAAGTACTTTCAACAGACCAGACTCGATCAGCAGCACGGTGGCCGCCATCAAGACGGACATCACCAAGCTACAGACGAGACCGGAAGCCGCTACAAAGACGTTCAAGATGCTGCACTTCGACATCAGCAAGTTCGACGATTACAACAAGTCGGACGCCTTGTCATGGTGGCAACGCTTCCTCACGGAAGCATCATGCCGCATGGTCTCGGCGGACGACATGTTGAAGGCACTATACCTGCAGCTGATTGGAGGAGCGCAGGGATGGATGAACCACCTAGCGGCTACACACAAGTGCACTATMGCCGAACTCCACACGCACATTACGTGGAAGGAGTTCGAGCAGCTATGGTTCACCCGGTTCATGGTCCGCAACGTCGTGAAGGCGGCCATGAATGAGGTGTACACATGCTCTCAAGGGAACATGCCAACTCGAGACTAGACAACGAAGTGGCAAAAGATAGTGACCACAACAGATTTCGACTTGACGTTTCCAAATCAACGATCCGAGTTTTTCTCTCGATCGTGCGCGGGATTGCGGTCGGCACTCGGTAATGAGTACGACTATACCACATTCCAGGCCATTCTGGATCGAGCGAACTTGGTCATCCAAACGAACGACAAGGCCGCTAACGAGAGACAATCCCAGCCGCACTATGTGGCTAAGCATACCTATCAACGTCCGACACATAACAATGCCGTGTTTTCTGAGGAAATCGACGACCACCACGCTGCAGCAGCATCCTCGAGTGATGGAGGAATTGTCGCAGCGCTCCCGCCGAAGCATCCGAAGAGAGTTCGCAAGAACAAGGCGACACAAGGGACAGCGGCGACGGGAGTTGGGCAGCAGCCATGGGCGGCTTATAAGATCACCAAGGAGGTCTATGACCTACGTCAGAAGTACGCATACTGCCTATGGTGCAACAGTGTAGTACACACTACCGCACAATGCCCAGACAAGGGCAAGGCACGCATACCCCGTCCAGCCAACTCGGGAAACTGAGTTACGCAAGGAGAGGGGCGACGTCTCTCCTCACTCCGCCGGACCCGGTTGCCTTGCTAGCAATCGATGTCACTACCGGGGAGCATGCATTAATCGCTGATTCTCGTGCTACGTACGAGGATTATGCCGCCCAGCTGGTACCACCATTAGACCAGCCTAGCCATGTGCATGTAGATTGCGTATGCGCAGCCTGTACACCGTCGGCAAGTGATCCGGTTTGTTCGCCACTGGTTTCCGAGGACTCGACGGCTTGGTCAAGACTTGAGGAGCTTGACCCGCTCACGAGAGAGGACTTCGCCYGGATGCCTCTACCCTCGATCGGAACCTTGCCAAGGCCGCATTGCAACGCCTTGATGGCAAATCTACGCTTCAACTTGCACACTACAGTACCAGCTCCGTTGACGGACGACGGGGTAGCGGTTCCCGATCTCCGCTCCTATCTTGCAAAGATCGACCGCGAGCACGCCACCCAAAGGTACGCTGAAACCGACGCACCTTTGCTCTATATCCGYATTCAAATCGGAAAGGCAACCTGTAGTGCCTTGATTGATTGCGGAGCGTCTCGCAACTTCATGAGTCAAGCCTTTATGGCCCGCGCAGGTCTTGGCCTGCGCATTCGAAGAAAGACGCAACCTACGCAAGTTACACTCGCGGACGGCCGCAAGCAAAAGTCAATTGACCGACGCATTAAAGGCGTTCCGGTCTACTTTGCGCCACTTGCGTGCGAGCTGGTGTCTTTTGACATCCTCGACACTAAGTTCGACATGATTCTAGGCATGTCTTGGTTGCGTAGCGCCGATCATCCGGTGAACTTCCATGACCGAACCGTTCACATCCGTGATCGGAACGGAGTGTGAGTCCCATGTACGGTCGCGACCCCTCACACTTCGATTGCTTGTCACATGGTTTCCGTTGCGAGAATTCGCGACGCCATTGCTCGAAATGACGTCGAGGAGATGGGCCTTGTATTCTTGCATGCTCTCCCCTCGCCGGACGGACCAGCCGCGTCACCGCCGGACCCACGCATTTCTCACCTCTTGGACGAGTATAGAAACGTCTTTGAGGCGCCCACCGGAACGGTTCCGGATCGGCCCATACGTCATGGGATCACTCTCGAGGCGGGCGCCGTCCCTCTGCGTGGATGTATCTACCACATGAGCGAAGAGGAACTCGAAGTGCTTCGCCCACAACTCGATGACCTTCTCGACAAGGGCTGGATTCGCCCTAGTTGCTCGCCATACGGTGCACCTGTTCTCTTCGTCCGGAAGAAGAACAAAGATCTACGGTTATGCATCGACTATCGGAAACTTAACGCACAAACCATAAAGAACGTCGGCCCTCTCCCTCGGATTGATGATCTCCTTGAGCAGTTAGGCGGCGCGACGTACTTCTCGAAGTTGGATCTGAAGTTAGGTTACCACCAGATTGAAATCCAGCCTCAAGACCGGTACAAGACCGCGTTCAAGACGCGGTATGGGCATTTTGAGTGGGTBGTCATGCCATTTGGCCTCACCAATGCCCCCGCAACGTTTCAAGCAGCGACGACGACTGAGTTTCGCGACTTGCTCGATCGCAGCGTCCTCATCTACCTTGATGATATCTTGGTTTGTAGTAGGACGTTGGACGAGCACATCGTACACCTTCGCGTTGTTTTGAATCGTTTGCGACTAGCCAAGTA